GTTGTTGTTATGATAGATTTTCCCTACCATTTGAAATGAATTGTCCAACTTATTATTATTTATTTGGTAAAAACCTTTTCAATCACAAAGAATTTTGGAGGTTAGTGCCCATTGAGAAGCATGGCAAGGCTTAGAGCCTATGGCATGAAGAAGGTTTTCAACCGTGTGTTGGCATGGCTGCACTGTGCATTTTGTCTATCATCAAAAAAAGGAAAAACAATGGTGAGCATGATTTGAATTTTATGCATTAAAAATTGGGAAAAAAAGATCCAAGCACAAGTGTGATGCAACAATTGTTTATTATGTTTTATTACACATAATTACCAGAAAGGCCCGAATAGGCGAAATTCCCATAAAGTGAATTTCACATAATCCAAAATATTTGTACCTGATGAACCTACTAAGTAAAATTCAAGAAAAACAGAGACCATGGGTCATTAAAAGCAATTGGGATCTGCTGCTCGCGCTACACTGTGTAACTGGTTAGGTAACCAATCACAAATGAATAAGCCAATGTTTCATATGCATGAGACCCACACCTTTGTGTACTGAACATTGGCATGTCCCCTCGTGTTTGGTCACATGACAGGATACACACAGCGTGGCGAGCAGCAAATATGGGCTCCACTGTCTCATCACCACCAGCGTCACCTTGTTTCTCCTTGTTAATTGAATTGAGTAATTGATAAAGGGGAATTTATATCTACGCCCCACAAATGCTCCACAGCATAAATCGGAAACATCTCCCACTGATAACTTTGGGAGTGCATGTTGAGATGTGCATGTGGGGCATTTGTGGAATGATGAAACTGGATTTTATATAGCTGATCTCATATAGGGGCTGTTCAGTTCTATTGGTGTTTATTTAATAAACATTTTGTATAGTATTTATCTTGAAAAACAAAAAAAATGGTTGAAAAAAGCTTTTTGATGTTTTTTGATAGTTAGACACCACATCAGCTGAGCCATTTTTCAGATAAATGCAGTGGAACCAAACACTATTATAATCGGGATAAAGCTTAGATTATGATGTATTATATTATGTATTGGGAGAACGACAATTCAGCCGAGGGTCAGAATTTGTAGGTCCAAAGTACTGTTGGGTAGGTGCCAGTTCGAAATTGATGCCAATTTACAGACCGGACATTGATGCATAGAGTGTGGATTGATGCCATTTTGAGTATTTATAACTCTACAGTTGAAATCATAAATCTGCACTGATCCTGTCTGTACTTTTCTGTATATTTTATGTAAATTTATTATTACTGTTAAGCTGATATTAGTGAGAAAGTAGAAATGTGAATTTATGTGAACCAAACACCTCATGTGAAGGACCCTGCCCTCGTTGAAACAAAAATTCAGAAAAAGCAATTCAACTACACGACAATTATAATTTCATTATCTGGTGTCGGTAATGTTTGTTTCGTTGTGCATTGGACCATAAGATAGTCAGATACAGCGCCGCAACTCGCAGGCATGACTTGCATCGCTGGTCTGTACCTAAGGTGTCAATTCGACTGAATTTGGTTCAATTCAATCTAGTTCAATATGTCCATTATAGATGGATCAGGTCCAATCCAATCTGATGAATATTTTAGACCATTTTGGATCAGTTCAATTTAATGTTTGGACTGTTTAATCTGTTCAAATTGGTTTTAATTTAGATTGATTCTAACTCAAACCTGATTTGACACCTGTAATTTTATCTTCCATCAATGAAACAGATATTAATTCAATCTGATAAATCTATTACGATGAATCAGGTCTAATCCAATCCAATAAATATTTTGAACCATTATGTCTAGACTGGTCTAATTCAATGCATGTCTTATTAATCCGTGTAATCCATCCATACGTGCACTATGTAACAGTTTGAGATAAGGTAAGGCCTTTTTTAGCTAAAACATAGGCAACATTATTTGCACTTTTAGCAGGGACCAGGGAAATAGCAAACTGAGGTAGGAAGGTGTTCTAATAAATTCTTGCAATTGAAAAGAACTGATTTGATTTGCCAAGGGAGATTAAAGCAATCCTCCAACAGGTAACCCACAATACTGCTAGCATCACCTTCTACAACAAAGGGAGAGAGATGAAACTCCGAAACAAAAGACAGTCCTGCCTGTAAGGGTGTCAATTGCATTGGATTTGGTCCAATCTGATCCAGTCTAATATGAATCCATTTATAAATGGACCAGGTCCAATCCAATCCAATGAATATTTTGGATCATTTTGGACTGGTTCAATTCAATGTCTGGGTTGTCCAATTTGTTCAAATTCGTTTTGATTTAAATTGGTTTCAACTCAAACCCGGTCCATTGGCACCTATATTCTTATCTTATATCGATGAACCAGATATTGGCTTAATCCAACCCAGTCCAATATAAATTTATTACGGACGGACCATGTCCAATCCAATATGTCTTATTGGTCCGTTCAATCCGTTCGCATTGATTTTGGACGGGATGGGGTCCAATCCAAAACCGGTCCATTGATACCCTTACTGCCAGGAAAGCATAAGCTTCAGCCTCAAGAGGAGAACAAATGGAGATTGGTGATGCTCCGACAAATAACATAGAACCATTGCAATCATGGGCAGCCACACCTTAAGCCGCTATCAACATTAACTTTCACTGCATCCAAAGCTGGCTTAGTCCAATGAACATTGTTGTTTACCTGGGATGAGATGTTTTCAGAACTAGTGTTACTTGGCCCCAGAATAAAGGAAATAAAGGTGTTTGCTCTTATGATCACTCTTAGGGGGCATTCTTTTTTTTTGGATTTTGAGAGGGGGTAAAGTTGGTCAATGGAATTTTGATTCCCATTGACCAAGACACCTATATTTATTTTTCAGATTCCCAATTTATTTTCTTTGGTATCACTTACCCGGGTAAATAATACCCATCTCTTAGGTGGGTAAATAATTTTCCTAGGGGAAAAGTCACTAACACTTAAATGGGACAAAAATTCTCCATTTAATAATGAATTATTATGACTAAAATGATCATTGCCTTGTTTACATGGAAAATAAAAGAACATGAGTAAATGCACTTATTCGAGAAAACACTTACCCAAATAAATGCATTTACCCAAAAATAAATGGGGTCTTAAGGGATCAAGATTAAACCTTCAAAAATAGCCTCATTTCGAGCAGTCCAGATATGCCATAAGTAGCAGCCTTTTATGAACAAACCTGATTGCTTATTATTGTTTTCTATATCAGCTTTCCACCATAGGATCAGTAGATCAGAAATGCCCTTGAGATCAAGCATATCACAACTAAGTTGTAATGGGGATATATCCAAACCACGTTGCTTTTGCATCACAACATGATGTAAAAAGAAGTAAGAATTTGACAATGAATGGTAGTAAACAATGAATTTATGCAACTCTTACATGAACTCCTATTCACTTTTTTAACATTATCTTAAACTTATTCTGATGAACTTTCTATACCTCCAAAATAGGACTGCAAATAAATAAGATCAGATCCAATTTGAATCCGAATTCAATCCAGCAGGTGCTGGATTTGGTACCCCCCTTGATACTAATAAATCGGACCAAATTGGAAATTTCAATCTGTATAATTAATGGATTGAATTTAAACATACGGCCTGATCCAACCTGATATGCTCTATCACCAATCCGATCTGTTAGTTATTGAAATGTTTATATATTATATGTATATTATTTATATTATATCATTAAGTTTTTTATTATAATTCAAAATGAATCCAATATCTGATAAGATACTAGAATTCAAAACATAATCTTGAAAATCAGACAGGTTCTTATTGGATTCGGATAAACCGGGTTTCTTATCAAATCAGATCGGATATACCCTTTACCGAATCCAATCCAATCCTTTTGCAACCCTATAGAGACCCTTTCACATGTATGAACCGGAATATGCTGTTCTTACTTCTATGTATAACCAGTTATGCAATCCATCATGAGTGAATATTACTATTATTCCGTACACATAGGATCTATACACATTGCAATAATAGATCCCTAGTGGATAGATATGCCTTCAGCCGAATTTAAAACATCTCACAGCATATCCCAATCATGTATTGGGAATATCTCCCGATGACAAGTAAGGGAGATATTCTCAATACACGCTGAGATGTGCATGTGAGGCATTTTTAGGACACATTCTGTATGTCAACTCCTCTTAAGCCAATTCAACGTCAATGACATGGCAAAAATGGTCCACATGTGCCATTTTTTATTATTTTTATGATAAAACAATGACCATGCAACTAGTCTACATTATTGGCTATCTAATTTTTATATGATAAAAATACCCTTAGTCTACTTCTATCCCCTGTTTTATTGCCTATTTCCTGCTTACTCATCTCAGAACACAACAGTTTGATTCGTCCATCAATAATTGAATTTGAGTCAATGGACTGCTGAGTGCTGATCGACTATAAGACCAGATACAAAACTTCCTTCTTGTTTTTTGGATCAGAAAAATTCATTATATTACTGTATTAAACTATTAAGGGAACCGTAGACTACATTTGTAACATAATCAGAGAAGGCATCACTCATTAATCAGGTTCTATGTTGGAATTAAAAAAAAAAAAAAACGAATAAAAGAAGTGAAGGAACTTGTCAGAATCTAGAAAGGATCCTCTAGATTTATCAATATTGTAAAATATTGTAAACAACATTTATCAATATGATGTGTTTCTTTAATATAGTTGATCATATCCCTAATCAATCAATATCTTCTTAGGTTGCAAAATATGTTGAAGAGATTTTATGTAGAGAAGCAGATTAATTGCCGTTTGTCCCATATGGAAATTACTGTTAGACATGTGAATGAGAAAGAATTAATTAATCCATTTCAAAGTTATAAGCAAAACTAGGAAGGAAATCCTCACTTCCCCAAAGGGGAAAATTGACAAGATAATATCCAAATTAATTATCTCCACAGAATGTTAATGGCTTGAGGATTTTTTTTTGATAGATTAAGGAAACTTTTAATTCAGATCCAATGAAGAAGTCTTCTAAAGAATCCTTCTTGTAAACAATTACCTAACATCATTAAATGCAAAAATTTCATTTTTCCTGCTGATGAAATCACTTATCTAATCCAACAAAACCACACCCTCCAATATTGCTCTGAGCTAGGTTTTAACCATATATATCAAGTCAACTCCTGGTCTTTGTAGAATGACTATATATAGAGATATAGATAGATAGATAGATAGTACTCAAGCCCTCCTCATCAGTGATCAAAGTAACTACTCCAACACAGAGTCCCACACGTGTAAGGCTGTAACTGTGTCAAGAGAGTGAGATAGGATAAGAGAGATGGTGGTGGCGGAGACGAGTGGCGGTGGTGGTGGTGGCGGTGTTGGGTGGACAGATGTGAGGAGTCTGACCGCCCGGATCCTCCTGGGGCGGTGGTTCATGGTCTTTGCATCCTTCCTGATCATGTCCGCTGCCGGTGCAACTTACATGTTCGCTCTCTACTCCAACGACATTAAGACCACACTGGGGTACGACCAAACCACACTCAACCTGTTGAGCTTCGCTAAGGATGTGGGTGCCAACGTCGGGATCTTGTCCGGCCTCATCAACGAGATCACACCGCCGTGGGTGGTGCTTGTGATCGGCGCCATCATGAACTTCGGTGGGTACTTCATGATATGGCTTGCCGTCACCGAACGCATAGCCCGGCCACAGGTATGGCAGATGTGCCTCTACATATGTATCGGTGCTAACTCACAGACCTTCGCCAACACCGGCTCTCTGGTCACCTGCGTCAAGAACTTCCCTGAAAGCCGAGGCATTGTGCTGGGTCTCTTAAAGGGGTTCGTGGGTCTCAGTGGCGCCATTATCACTCAGCTCTACCATGCTTTGTATGGCAACAACACCAAAGCTCTTATTCTATTCATAGGTTGGCTTCCCGCTGCAATTTCTTTCGCTTTTGTTCGCACTGTAAGGATCATGAAGGTCATTCGACAGCCCAACGAACTGAAGGTCTTCTACAAATTCCTCTATATCTCGCTCGGCCTTGCTGGGTTTCTTATGGTTATAATCATCGTACAGAAAAGGTTCGACTTCAATCAGTACGAGTTTGGTGGCAGCGCTGCCGCTGTTCTCTTCCTGCTCTTTCTCCCGGTCGCCGTTATTGCAAAAGAGGAGATTGAGCTATGGAAGAGCAAGAGGCAACCGTTAAGGGGTAATTCTCCCCGGTTGGAAGTAACAGTTGAAAAGCCACCAGCGCCGGTGGTTGAAGCAGAACCAGTAAAGCCGGCGGCAGCGGAGTTGCCACCAGTTGCCCCGCCCCCAAATCCATTACCAGTTTCTCAGAAGTCGGCCTCCTGCCTAAGCACCATGTTCAGGCCTCCGAACAGGGGCGAAGACTACAGTATACTACAAGCTCTTGTGAGCATCGACATGTTGGTTCTGTTCTTCTCAACCATCTGCGGCGTCGGTGGGACATTAACGGCGATTGACAATCTAGGCCAGATAGGTCAGTCCCTGGGCTACCCTTCTCGTAGCACCAGCACCTTCATATCACTGGTCAGTATCTGGAACTATCTCGGGCGAGTGGCGTCAGGCTTTGCCTCTGAAATCTTCTTGAAGAAATACAAATTCCCTCGCCCTTTGATGCTTACAATGGTCCTTCTCCTCTCCTGTGTCGGGCACCTCCTCATCGCCTTCGGTGTCCCGGGCTCTCTCTATGTGGCGTCGGTGATCATCGGCTTCTGCTTCGGCGCACAGTGGCCATTGGTGTTCGCCATCATCTCTGAAATTTTTGGCCTCAAGTACTACTCGACTCTGTACAACTTCGGAGGAGCGGCCAGCCCAGTTGGGCTATACATCCTTAACGTGAGAGTGGCGGGGCATCTTTATGACAGAGAGGCCAGAAAACAAATGGCAGGGTCGGGTACCACTAGGACTGCCGGAAAGGAGTTGAGTTGCACCGGCGTGCAGTGTTACCAACTGTCCTTCATTATAATCACTACAGTGACGTTGTTGGGAGCTTTTGTCTCGTTGATTCTTGTTGTTAGAACGAGAAAGTTCTACAAAAGTGATATTTACAAGAAATTCAGAGAAGAGGCCAGGGCAGCAGAGACTGAGATGGCCTTGGCTGAGAATGGCATCCAGACCCAAGCACCAATAGAGAGAAATGCAGACAAGACATCATCAGTAACGACAACACCACCACTCCAACAGGTCAATGGAGATAGGAATATAAGATAGATAGATAAAGGGAAAAAATAAGAAAAAGGGTTGTAGTTACAGTTAAAGATTGAAGATGAAGGGGGTTTAGGGAACAAAAACAAGAACAAGAAACAGATGACATGGTTACCCTGACTGCTCTGTAATTTCTCCTTTTCTTTTTAATGGGGTGATGATGTTCAGTATCCATCTTTAGTCTTTGCTGTGGATATTGCAACAATTGTTCACTAATTCACAGAATTGCAAAAAGACTTGGGCAATGGGTATACAGATTTCAGTCAAATTAGAGAAGTCTGATTAGTGCTTTGACTAATGCTTTGTCTGTTTTGCTTATTTTCTGTCATGTGGATCATCCCATGTTGTAAAATATGGAGAGAGTACAACCAATCATGGTAGACTGGACTCTCAAAGTAGGAAACTTGGGATTTCTATGGGGGCCTAGAATAGGGCCCAGGGATTCTAGGCCCAATTCATGCACTGCATCTGCATCAACTTTGTTAGGAGGCAAAGGACTGTAGTAGAATAATTTGAACTTTGAAGACATGTGAATTTGGGGGCTTTCACATGACCAATGGAGATACTGTTGCAGAGAAGGAAAGAAAGAGAGATCCACCCAGTAATATGAAGCTGACGACTAATATGAAATGATTCAGAGGCCAAACCCAGTTAAAAGAAATTGTTTTCAGTGATCACAATTAATGGACATTGAATGTAATTGAATTCATTTTGGACATTGGTGGACTAATGACACTGTCAAGCTCTTAATAACTTGCGGCTGTGATTGGGGAGCCTGTTTTTTGTCCATCTCACAGATTTTGTTCCCAAGAAGAAAGAGGTGAATAAAAACAATTAATATTGGAGGAATGGGAGCCCCTTCCGTCTTAACTTTATCTGCAAGGTGGGTCGCTCAGAATTCACAGGCCAAATAGAACAAGAACAAGAGAAGGATGAATGTAGAGCCAAATAAAAACAATAATGGACCTTACGCTTCTTTTTTCTACGTACCCAAGTGAATTTCAGATTCATTTATCAAAACAAGTGAATTTCAGACTCACCCGTGATCCTCTGACTGTTGGGTACTCAAAGCTCACATGTGATTCTCTCTATCTCTCTATCTCTGTTAAAACTCAAATTCCTAGTTACATTCTGTCTTATTAATGAAAAGCTTGTCGGTGGATACTCGTATTAAAACTGTAGTCCGTCCGTGCATGTATAAACAATAAAACAACTCATCAAAATAAAGCAATTTTCATATATGTGTATGTTACATACATATTATTGGAACTTATGCAAATAGACTCTTTGCCGATGGGACTCAGTAGATGCAGAGACTGAATGTCAAGTAGTTGAGCAGTGGATCGTATCTAAGTGGATTGGACCCAGTACCTGAGACATAGGCCCATGTAATGACTGACCCGTTAGAGATTTAGAGTAAGTAGGAATTTGAGATTGAGTTGTTATCTTATTAACAGAAACCAACTAATGATCTTACCTTCACCCTATTTAACTAATGGAGATAATTCTGGTTAATCAGATAGTTGTTTCTCTAGACTAATCATGATATGCATGAACTCTGGGGGGAAGTACCAAATGACACCTCCTTTATTGGTAACTTGCATTGCCATCCAAGTGGCTATGAATAGAAACCATAATGTGTCAAGGCATTTTGAGTTTTCACTGGTAAAAAAATGTGGAAAATGGAGCGAAGCATCAGATAATATCTTCCAAAGTAAAAGATGAAATAGAACAACAGGCCATATGTTACTCTAAGGAAGAAACCCCCATCTACTAAATGTACAAGGATTAGGGAGACTCCCAGACCAGGAAAGAAGGAACATGGAATATCAGAGAAACAATGGACTCTCTCCAATCACAACCCACCACTGCAGATTCTTTAATTCATTTATACATTGATAAATGCTTCAAGTAATTGTGTCCACTGTTATAGAATGCTTTTCAATGAAGAAATTCATTATTGCAACATGACATTAACTTCTCTCATGCCATGGTCTTTTCAGTTCAGGAAGTCTATTTTTCAAATAATTAAATTCATCCATCTAAAAGTAAGTTTGTTCATGAAGCTATGTGGCACTAAACTTAACAATGAGGAATGGCCCATCGAACAGGATTCATGTAGTCAACCCCATATAGTTGAAACAAAGCTTAGTAAAGTTCATTAAGTCACTTAAACAAATGCAAACTAGATCGATCATGATGAGGAGCAAGGTCCGGACCAAAATCAACCCACCCATTAGCATATGAGAGCGCAGTGTTTGCTAACCAATCTGTAGTACGATTCGCCTCCCTATACACATGCGTGTATTGAATATCCTCATTTAAACGCTTCTTCAGCTCTAGGCACTCCTGAATGATGTTCCCCAAACGCCACAGGCGAATGGAGCTAAGCTTCAGGCATGAGATAACAAGCCTGGAGTCTCCTTTGATGATGATGGAGTTGTTGATGAAGTTCGCTGCCATGTTATGAGACTCCCATGCCACCCAAGCCTCTTCCATATTGATAGTAGTAGTCCCTAAACTGTATGCTTTGAAATCCACGATCTCGCCATAGTGATTCCTTGCAATCGCTGCAATGGAGCATTTTCCATTACTAGATCGAGAGGCATCAAAATTTATCTTAATAGTGTTAGGTTTTGGAGCTTTCTAGGCAATAAGCTTCCATGATTTCTGTTGAATAGGATGGTTTTCCTTTTGAGCATTTAAGACTTTCTCCATAATCACATGGGGAGTAGTACTAAATTATTAAAGATTTTTTTATTTCGATTCTTCCAAATATTCCATAATACAAAAACACATTTCTCTTTGCACATTGGATTCCCGTTTGCATCATGAGCCCACCAATCAAACAAAGCAGAATCAACATCGTTAGGATTAACACAGGATGATGTCAACATTCTCCAAATTTGATTGGCAATTTCAAAGTTTTTAAAAATATGATCCAGGTCTTCATCTTCACCACAAAAGTTGCATGCTGCATCTACATTAACTCCTTTATTCCTGAGGAAATTGAATTCCAATTCAGATTACTACCACCATTATTGATCGATGAACATTTTATTCCATAGGCTGAGCTGACAGAGAATTTACCGTCTATGTTTAATCTCCAGATTAGGTTGTTATCCTTGGGCCCAAGGGAATAAAAATCGATTTTATTTCCTCCCATGTCTTAATGGGAACCAGGCACCTGATTTTACTCTCCATCCAAACATTCCTCTCTTTGTCAATAACCTCTTTCACTAATAAATCCTTATTATTAATCATTTCTTTAGGAATAGTCTCCTCAAGCACCACATCCTCGGCCCATCTATCTTTCCAGAACTTTATCAATCTACCATTTCCCAGCTCCCAACCTATTCTTTTACCAAGGAGTTCTCTAGATTTGAGCATTCCTCTCCATGCCCAAGAAATGTTCTTTTTTCCTTTTACACCCTAGAGATTATCCTTTTGGAAGTATTCTCCTTTTATAACTTTAACCCAGAGATTATCTTTCTCTTGAAGAATTTTTCATCTCAGCTTTGCTAGGTTGAGATTTCTTCCAATTAATTAGGTGGATGGGTCTTTTATCATTTGACCGTGACCACAAAAATTCCTTTGGTGTTTTTCTATTTCCTCAATAATGTTTTGAGGCAATTTAAAGGATCTCATGAGAAATTGTGGCATCATATTAGTAGTGGCAATGAGAAGAGTTATCTTGCTAGTCAAAGAAAGGGTATTCCTTTTCCACCCTGCCAACTCGCAGTAAGCTTTTTCCTTTACTGACTCTTTCTCTAGCTTCTCTACAAGGGGCTCGTTACAAAGGACAAAAGTGTACGGGGATAAGGGATGCCCTTGTCTAATTCCCCTAGTAGAGTTAAATTCCCTTATTGGGCTGCCATTAATAAGGATTTGATAGGAAACTAATTTAATGCATTCCATAACCCATCCTACTCACTTATTATGAAATCCAAACTTTTTTAGTAAAGTTCCATTCGATTCTATTAGCGGTGGCAATCGGGTGGGTTGAGTTGGGTTTGGGTTGGGTTCAACCCAAACCCGCTTTAACCCAATCCAATCCGTCCAAACCCATTAATTTTATATTTATGGACTTAAAAGACAAACTAACTCTCTCTTAACAAGTAAGTTGGTCATAACTTGGTGGTAATTGTAGTTATTATTTACACAAGTGGTGAAGGTTCAAATCACATTACATACATGTTATTTTTACACAAGTGGTGAAGGTTCAAATCACATTACATGCATGTTATTTTTACACAAGCGGCGAAGCCATTTGACTATGTTTGGATTTTGGGTTTGATTTAACCACTTAGGTTCAAATTGTTCAGACCAACTTGAATTATCTAATTGGATTATCTTCGAGCTAATCACATCAAGGGTGGTTGAACCGTTTAGATCTGGATCAGTCCAATCGGACTGGACCAGACTAGTTCAATCAATGGTGGATAGACCTGTTCATGGACTGGGTAGCCCGACGGCCCGGCCCGCACCCCGATTGGGCTTAGACATGTAATTATGCCTGCGGGCCTGACCTCGGGCCCAAAACAACAAGCCCGACTGTGTTTCAGGCTGGGCACGGGATTTGTCAAAAAAGCTCGACCCAACTCAGCATTATATATTTTATAAAATATATAATATTTATTAGAATATATATATATATATATATATATATATATTAATAATTTAATATATACATTTTTTTATTTTTTCTTTATAATTTCTCTCAGCAATAGCAGCGGCATGAGCTAGACTTCAGGCCTGGGCTTCAGGCTTTTTATAAGGGTAAGGCTCGGGCCCAAGTTGTAGGCCCGATGGTCGGGTCGGGCTCGGGCTCGGGTCTTAGAAAAATCAGTTAATGCAGAGTGAAAGCCCGGCCCGGCCCAGCCCATGAATAGGTCTAATGGTGGATTGACTTGGACCAGACCATATCAGGTTTGTGCGCGGATTTGGGACCAAACCGACTGACCCAAAGTGGTTCGACATAAGTAAATCGGGTCGGTCCGGATTCAGGTCGATCTGTGTGGATATTGGTCAGACAGACGGTTCAGACCGGGCAAAGCACGTAGGCACCGAATCATCCCACCCGAAATCGTTTCAGATTCGGGTTGACACAAATCAACTTGTACAAGGTTGGGTCAGGCTTTGTGAGTACTAGTTGGACCAGGCGACCCAAACTGGGGCAGAGCAAGCGTTACCGAACCATCTCGCCCGGGGTCAATTTCGGATTCGGGTCGACCCGGATCAACTTGTGTTGGGTTGGGTTGGGTTGTGATGATAATGGTTGGACCAGATGACCCAAACCGGCCAGAGCATGCGGTACCAAACCATCCCGCCCAGGGTCTATTTTGGTTTTGGGTCGACCCGGATCGGATCAAACCACGTTGAACTAGTCCAGACTTGGGTCAAATTGATTTGAATTTATATTGGGTGAAGTGTGTTGATTCAAGACAAAATTAAATTTAGTCAATAATTAATAGAAAATTAATGCATTAATTATAAATTATTTAATTCAAATGAAGAAAATTAAAAAGGCAAAGGAATTAATACTTATGTTTGTAATGGTTATCCCCAACCCAACCCATTTAAATGGGTAAATGGGCAGGTTGGGTGGGTTAGATACTGCGTGGATTGGATGGGTTCAGTGGGTTGGGTGAAAAATTGCCACCCCTAGATTCTATCATACGCTTTCTTCATATCAATCTTATAGGCCAACATACCTGATTTTCCTTTTTTTCCTTTTCATAGAGAATCATGATATTATCATTAATTTATCTGTTAGGGACAAAGGCACTCTAGTACGGAAATATAATTTTGTCAAGGAAGGGCTTAATTCTATTAACCAGAATTTTTTGAGATGATTTTGTAAATTACATTACACAAGCTAATTGGTATGTAATTATTAGTTGTTTCTGGATTTCCATTTTTTGGAATAAGAACTAGAAAAATTTTATTTAAAGCTTTGACAACCTGATTGATCGAGTCTTTGACCGTGTTCCAAAACTTTTTAAAAAAGAGGGCATTTAAACCATCTATCCCTGGGGCTTTTAGATCCTTGATTGTTTGGAGAGCTTCATAAATCTCCTTTATCAGCAACTTCTCTTATAATTTCTTCATTTTGTTCTTTAGTAATGCTAGGCTTAATTTCCTCTAGAAACTCCTCAGCACCTTTAGTTCCCTCAGATTGGAATCTTTGGTAAAATTTTTCTAAAAAGGTCAAGATCCCTTACTTCCTTGACCATCCTTAACTGAGACAATTCGATTTCTTGCCTTCCTAATAGTGGCCATAGTGTGGAAGAAACTATTGTTTCTATCACCCAAGTTGATCCAATCGATTCAAGCTTTTTGGTCCCAATAGGCCTCTTCCCTTTCCAAAATTTTGTTGAGTTGATTTTAGTAAGCCCTCTCAAGTTTGAGGAGGGTTCTATTAGTATTGTCCTCCATTAACCTCCTTTGAACATCTTCGAGGGATTTGAGAATATCCTTTTTTTTCTTAAAAATATTGCCAAAGTGGTTTTTGTTCCAACTCCTTAAACTGGCAACCACCCTATTCCTTTTCTTAATGAATTGAATTGCTCTTGTCCTACCATCTTCAATATTCCAGGCTTGAAAAACAATGTCAGTTATCATGGGGTCAAGACATCACATTGATTCAAATCTAAATGGTTTGGAACCATTCGAAAGAGGTAAATCAGTTTGAAGCACAAGGGGTATGGTCAGAAGCTAAAAAAGGAAGATTTTTTTAAAATAGAGCAAGGGAAAAGTCTTCTCCAATTCTCATTAACCAGAACCCAATCAAGCCGTTCCCAAGTAATCCTATTCTTCCAAGTAAATGGGTTCCCAACCATACCCATATCCATAAGACTACAGTAATAAGATTGTTAAAATCCCTTGTTTGACTTGGCATAACCACCCTACCTCCTATCTTGTTTTCACTATATTTATACGAATTGAAATCGCCTATTAAACACCATGGATCATTAATTGTTTCCGAAATTTCTCAAATCCAATCCCAAACTTGTCTCTATTCAACTTTATTTGGGAGAGCATACACAAATGTATAGAGCCATACTCTATTCGAAGAGGTATCATTAATGCTAGCATGAATCAGTCGGTCATTTGAAAAAATAATCCGGAGATTACAATAATTATTGTTCCATAAAACCCATGATCCCCCCGCAAAACCCACTGGATCAACACAAAATGCAAAGAACTAACATTTTTGTTTTTTTTTTTGCTCTCTCTCCAGATTTACCCTTGTTTCCATCAGAAAAAGAACATCTATTTTATGTAATCAATAATCGAATAAGATCAACTACTTGGCGTTGTAGCCTTGTAGGCTAGGCCTACCCGCCCCCCTAACATTCCAGCTAAGCAATCTCATTGCAACTAGTGGTGTTGAGTTCTGTAGATTTCAGATAAACTGCTTCGTACATGCTTCCAAAAATTCAAGCTTTCACCTTGCAATGGTTCTTGAGTTCTGTAGAGTTAGAAGTTTTACATCTGGGCCATTTGAGGTGGATTATGCCCTCAAGTTTCCATGTCAAGTCAACTGCAAGTGCTTGGAAAGAAGGGGGAAATACTGAGCTGTGTTCTGTAGAGAAAGATATCTGTAGACAGTCTATACACTAAGCTGACTGTATTTCACAAACAAATTTGATTGTCTTTATATGGAACAACTATGCATTTAAACTATCAATAACCCCCCTTCTTTTGTCAAGTTCTTCAAATCAACAACAGATTCATGTTCATGGTCTGGCTTGAGACTGGCAGTCTTAGACAAGCCAGGACTGGCAGAATTCAAATGTACAACAGATGGGAATTTGTCTTGGAAGATTAACAGATGGTTGTCATGGTTAATGAGTTCAGGATGATGGATTCTGGACTTGCATCCATGCATGTAGCAGTCAGTCTGTCAATAGGGTTACTCTTGAACAACCACAATCAATCATTTATTGCAATAAGAGGTAAAAGAAGATGAATGTCTTTGATTCAAGTTTAAGAAAGAAGGCACTTGGCAGCACCTTCAACTATAAGGCAAGGTTAGGTGCATTTGATTTGAGGATTATCCCCATATAGATTATAGAGGAGACATTTCCTCAAAGGACATATAGGACAACTTCTTGGGCCGGCCTTAAGAGTTCCAGATTCTTGCAATTGTCTTCAAGAAAAGATTTGGCCCTCCTCTTCTTCCATCATCATGATCATTCAGGTGAAAATCTGTTGACATAGGGTCGGTCTGTTTTCACCATATTATCACATTTTGGGGAACCTCTAAATTCCCCAAGAAAATTTCGTTTTCATCATAGAAAGTGTCTATAATTTGCAACCATGTAAAGAATAATGTTTTGTGTATCCAGAGGGATATCATAAATGAGAGCTCCCAAGTCTGTTATGCAAGACAAACGAGAAATAACAAAGCTAATAATATAATCATTATAACTGTTTTTTTTTTCTTTTTTTTAGAACATTAGAACCGTCAGTTAAACTGAGAATCAAAAGACTATTTAACCCTGCCGATTGGGGGTATTGGGGATTTGGGGGTATGCAAACAATGCATTACATACCCAAGGAAACATTTCCATCCAAAATTGAGAGTACTAGCATTCACTAATCCAGCCACCAAAAACACCCAGAGTAAAGGAACAAGCTCCTTAGGAGGATTTCTCTGAAGTAAGCCAAGCCTGTGTAGCCACTAGATCAGAAAGCACAACTGCACCAGATTTCCTCCAACTCTCAGCATCAGGTGACTTGAATCTATCCAACAGCAATGCATGCATTCCAATGCTTTTTGCAGGCAGGTAGTCTTTCCGCATGCTGTCTCCAATATGCAAAGCTTCCTCTGGTGCAATATTTCCAGCCTTCTCCAGGGCAATTTTAAAGATTCTAGGGTCTGGCTTTTCCACACCTTCGAGACCAGAGAACACACCAAAGTCCCATTCGGAACCCTGAAAACCAAACACCAAAAATGCAATTTAGAGAAGTGCATGGCAAACATTTAGAATGATAATATAAATAATTAACTGTGTCATCTTCCAAATAATCAACTCTTTTTTTTTTTGAAAGACAAATAATTAAGCCTCCTTGAACATTCATCCACAATGAACATTCTTTGGGGATCTGATAGGATAATTTGGTTTCACATTAAGAGAAAACTAGAAAAAAAGTATACTGAGTTAAATGATCAGAGAATGACTTTCATTAGAACAAAGAAAAGATGGTGATCCCATAGTTTTCAAGGCGCTGAGGCAAAGCTAGGCGATAAGGGGCACTTTGTCGCCTAGGCGATGGGATTTTTGTGAATAAAAACCATGAATCCTACCCTAGGTTTCATAGCAACCATCTTTCTATTAATTGTCTATAATCTTTGTTAGTGAAGGGGTATTTTGGTCTTTGTACCTGTTGAGAGTGCTGATGTGTACTATTATGTTAGTTTGAGTGCCTCTTACTTAAATAAGGGCACTTATGTCTTTTCCAAYTACATTAATAATATAATAACAGGTCTGGCCGAAACTAGGGTTGACTTTCCTAATTTCGAACCAGACTTTTTCTCTTCTCCTTCCTCTTTCTTCCTTCTTTTCTCTCTTCCTTCTTGCTGTTTACTCTACTTTTCAGCTAACAAACAAAACAGACTTCTAGGGCAGGCCGAACTTTAACATGGTATCAGAGCAACATCAAACAAATCAGACCTGCTAGAATTCTGTTTTCTGTGCATTCGAACTAGGGTTTCTCTTGGATTTCTCAGCCGTTGGTTGGA